CTTATATACTAATCATTTGGTAATAACTGAGTTCACTTCGATATTATTAACGTCTACAGACCGAAGAACCCCATGGCTCACTTATATCTCGAGAAGTGTTTATCAAAAATTCGACAAGGTTCTCTACAAAATGTCTGAATTGAAAATGTTCAATAATAGGTGGAGTACTAGTGAATGTTCTCCGTATTTTCAAACACTTGGTCGGTGTCAGAGAGATGACTAACCTTATATTGGTTGATGACAAGGTAAGTGATTGTTTTCTCACTTAGTTAATCTATATGTTCATGTGGTTTACTGTAGATGATTACTAAAAAAGAATATTACTGGTCGTGATCTTGTAGGGTGATAAAATTCATGTAGTATTATGCAAAGATATAGCGTCTATATTTGTATCGCAGATTCGTGAGGGTGATTGGATTCTGTTGTGTGATTTCAAACTAATGCCTGTTTTTGGAGAGTTTCGACCAAGTATGCACAATTATATGATCCATTGTCTGCCACGTACGGTATTTGTTAAGACTCCTCCCGCAGAAATTACCAATCGTTTTTCTTTCGTGAATATCGAAGCCATTAATGATGGACGTATGGATCCCAATGTCTGTATTGGTGAGTTTTATTGGCTGTGTTTAGTTTTGTTTGGCTATCTAAATTACTCATATAGTGTTTGTATTTCAGATGTAATCGGTCGAGTTGTTAATGTTGGAAATTTTAGAGGACTTCATGCGCTTGGTTTTCGTAAGCGAACAGACATAACTTTTGTACTTGTGGATGAACGGTATAGTTTTCTAACTTTGATTGGTGCATGTTGATATGATCCATTTAAAATTTTTGGGTGATAATGAGCTATGTATCTACTGCAATGGTAACAGTGGCTCGTAAGTTCCAGTACTTTTGAAAAATGAATATTCAGAGGACTTTCTCGAAGCTTGGTCGTCATGCAATCAGCAGCTCACTATTTGTATACTGAGGTTTGTGTCGATTGTTCGAAGGAATGGTTATTGGAGAGTAAAAACCACTTTCAAATGTTCACAAGTTTTATTGGACCCTCCATTTGTAGAAGCAAAAAGTCTTTGTGACCTAATGAGAGATAATAATATTTAGTTATTAGTATGACTACTATATCTTGGTCGGTTAGAATAGCCTTTTTTGGTTTATGGGTATCGTTATTTGTTTTTGATCTATTTATGATTTTTTTCCTAATAGTTTGCGGTCCGCACAGGCTGTGCGGACAAACCACCTAGTACTAAATGAAAGGAAAAGTTTGGGACTCATCAAGCTATCCACATCAACAAAAAATTCTCTATAATCATGCCACATCAGCAGACTTCTAATAAAATAATTCTTTAATATATTTATAACATGCTTAAAATTAAATAGTATTTAATCAATAATAATAGTAATTCTTTAATATTGATTAAATTATATATACTGTACTAACAAAAACATATGACATATAACTTAATTTTAACAAAAAAAAATTAGTTATTTGTTTAATATTTCAAATTCTTACAGCCCAAATTAATAATAATCACATGTTTAAACTGAAAAGTGATAAAATATAATATTATAAGATTTGAAGTTTGTCCATATAATAATAGAAAACTCTCATTATAGTTTTTTTGAAATACACATAAAATATTTTAGAAAACGAATTGCTCCAAAAAACTTAAATAAAAGTTTATAGAAACAAAGTTACAAAATGTAATTTCTAAAACAAAATTGAAAACATTCACAATTTAGAAAAAAACTAAAACATTCGTCTTTTAAAAACATACATAGTATATACATAACAAATAAATATTTTTTTTTTGAAATTTAATAATTTGTTTTTTTAATTAACACAACTGTATTTTACATAGGTAGACACAAAATTGTTTATTTTCTCTAAAAAGATAAACTTACAAGACTTTACTAATACATTAATTATTACAAAAAAAAATATTTGCAATACATTTACAGAAAAATATACTAGCATAATTCTATTTTTAAATATTAATATATTACATTCCTGTATTTGAAAATAGTATATACATTTTTATGTAAAAGAAAAATATCATAAAAACATCATTAACCATCCACGTCAACAAAAAAAGAAATTTCTTACAAACTAAACATTTAAGAGAAACTAATATGATTTTTTTTGGGGATTTAGAAACTCTTTTTAAAATAATATGATATATATTATTAATTTAATTATAAAGACTCATCAAAATATATATGTGGTGTAAGAAAAATATATAAGTTAAATTACAAGCCAAATGCAAATGAATCTTTTACACCTTTTGAGTTTTGAGAAACTCGACATACTTTGCTTAATTGAACGAGTTAGTATAAAGTTGTATTTGTATATGTATTACTTGCTTTATTCATCTACACTTCTATAGTTTACAGATGCTATCAGTGATCAAATGAAAATTTCAGTTTATCAATATGATTGTGATTTTCTATACTATGTAAATGTTTTTTTTTCATTTATATGAATAATTTCTTTTAAGGATTTATAAGAGTTTCAAACATTGACTGTTGTTCTGTATTGGAGACTGCTAATGAAAAACCAAAAAATTACACATACATAATTGAAATGAAAAGAAATCCAAATTAGTTGGAACAATAATTAGGTGTTTCAGTTGTAATCATATGTTTGATAAGTTATTTTCTTTTATTTAAAATGAAAAAATGAAAAAATGGTTTAAATTAAATAAAGAGAAAACTTATAGTTGTTGAATTCAATTATATATCTAATTTAGTTAAAATAAAATTAATTTTAATAATATTTTAAAAGTTGTTGTACAAGTTTATATATAAATATTAAGTTTTTGATTAACAGTTAATTTTCACATATATCAAATTAATATTTTCTTAAATTAAATCATAATATATTTTTTTAATATATTAAAAATATTTCGATGTATAACCAAATCAAATATTGTAAATCAAATATAATATTTAAAATATTAATTTAATATTAAAATAATTTAATTTAAATAATAATCAAAATATTTATCAAAATATTCGCGCGGAAACATCTTTAGTACTGAATAAAAGAAGCAGTTTGGAGCTCCGGAAGTTAGCCATCTCAGCGAAAAAAATTCCCTCACATAATGCCACGTGGCATAGGTTTGTAAAGCTTTTAAAAAAAACCAAAGAAAAATAAAGAAGAACACACTAATTAAAAATCAGTGACATATATTAATGCAACACGTGTCTAACACGTGAAGGAATAAACCATAAAAAATTAAATAATTTTAGTCCAAACAAATAAAAAAAACTCAGAAACAAATACCTTCCTTAAAATCCAAAGTGAGGCCCAAGAAACCACCAATCAAAGGCCCAGTAGAGAGCTAAACGCCAGCGTCTCAAATACCATCTTCCTCATCCAAACTTTTCAGCTTTCGTCTGCTCTATGTCTCCAATACCGTCTTCCTCATCAAAACTTTTCAGATTCCAGAAAACAAAATTGTTGGGTACTCGATTTCTCTCCCCACTTCCTCACCTTCATTGCCCACTCTATTCGATAGATTCAATGGTTTTAATGCCCACTCCTCTCGTATTTATCCTCTCCCTCACACAAGCTTATAAAATCAAACCCCACACAACCCCCCCCCCCCCCCCCCCCCCCCCCCCCCCCCCACCGTAGCAATCAAATTACAAGCTTCAATTATGGCTTCCAGATATCTCTGTCCTTTTGCTCAGCCACCCAATTTCCATATTCTTAAGAACAATTAAGGTGACTTCTGCAACGAAGAAGTGTTAGCTCGCCTTATTCACTTTTGGGAAGCCAGAAATTTCAAAAAAGGCATCGTCCTGATGGGTGTTGAACTACTTTTTTCTCGATTCAGGGATACACTAATTCTAATCGCTGTTTCCGTACAGGCTTTTCTTCTTCTTCTATTATTAGGGTAAAAAAAATTCATGTTAGCTCGCTTAAATACATTTTGGTGATTATTCTTGCTTTCATTATTTTAAGAAACGATAGACCAGTCATATTTTGTATTACTCGGAACAAAGCGATTTACACATATTTCTAGATTTAGTATGATCCTGTTTTGCTATTTAACAATCATAGCTTCCCATTATCCAATCTCTCTCTATCTCATTTCTCTCTTACCATACTACTCTTCCTGCTATTGAACCTCGTTTAGTTTTCAATCCCACGGTCTAATGCAGTGCAAGCTTTCATTTCTGCAAATCGACTTTACCACAGGAAATAGATTACCAGAATCTGAGTCTGCACATTCAATGATTTCTCCGCCAATGCCGACATGGAAACCCATCTCTTTAAAAATAATTTGTAGTATGTTTTCTTTAGATGTCATTGGACAGCTACACGATAACTTTCACTCTGTGACAGCCACCGCCACTGCACCTAAAATTCTAGGTAAAACTACCTGTTTATCTTTACTCTCCAGCTGCGTAAGAGTAGGATGGTACCGGGTAATCAAAAAGAGTAAGTTGCACTTTAATTTTATTTCCCTATTAAATATAACGACCTTGTTAGAGAAAAAATAAAAGTCACATTATCTAACTGTACAGCTGAAAACACTATAACAGAAATACACAAGGGAACAACTAAATAATCTCTCCATCCACAAGCCAGAACCACCGATGATTGAGGACTCAGCAACGGGAAAAGTGGAATCACAATTATCTCTGTATTTTTCTGCAGTATAGTTTAACATATTTTCAATTAATATATTTTTAAAAGTATAGCTTTGGTTAAACAAATTAAATGTTGGTTTGGGTTTCTGGTTTTGTTGACGGTAAAATAGATTTTGGTTATTTCTTTTTTCATAAGAATATTAATTTAATCCAATTGAAAGAAAGTTTGTTTGTTTTCCAGCTTATGGTTTCTGAATATTTGTTTACGTTCTACGTTACCGGATATATTTAAGTTTGACGTTACAAAACGAGAAATGATAAAAAAAAATATATATATATATAGATATATAAAGACAATTATAGATAGACGTATCCAAAGAATCCCAAAGTAAGAAACAAACACAGCTTCCATTATCCACCATTCGCATACAAAGCAAAACTGAAACCAAAGAAAAATAACATCACAAAAACTGGCAAGAATGGCTGAACACTTGCTCCGCTTCATTAGTGTGGTAGCAATAACAACAAAAAATGAAAGAAGTAAAGCCATTGATATTTATTTCACAACAACTTGCAGGCAACTCTTGATGAGGAAAGTGCTGAATATGCAATCTGTCTACAAACATTCAAAAAAAAAGAAACGATCTCAACAAACTACCATGTAATCACATACACCACCACCAATGTATTATCATTTGGTTGTATTCAAAAATTTATTTTTCAATATGTAGGACAACTGTTCTTTAAAACATCTCCTTTCTCACTTATCAAATAACAAATTATTATAAGATCTAACATAATTAAAAACAATTTTCGTCATATACATTTTGTTCTTACAATACAATTATCTTTATTTTTACTTTTATTGCAAAATTTAATACACAGAACTATCAAAAATAATAAATATAGTACTTCTGGCTAAAATTCTACAAAACAAATATATGGCTAGCATGTCTTTAAATTTTTTTCTTTAAAACCATCACAACAAAATATAAATCAGAAACAAAACAAAATAAAGAAATTAAAATACAGAATAATTTAATCAATAAAAAACCTACATATCTAAAAAGAAAAAAAAAATCAACTCAAAAACATATTAAAACACAAATAATTAAAAAAAAAAATATTAACAAATCCGCGAGCAATCCCTAGTCAACAACTAAATAACTTAATTGATATCACTAACAGAGTCAAAATCGAATCAAAAAAATCCCTTTGTATAAGAAAACAAACACATAGCCGCTTTTGATGCGTGAATTATTAAAGTAAATCGCTGTCTAGCTCTTGATATGATCTTCTTAGTACAATGAATGCATGTTGTTGATAAACGAAAAAAAAAAGAAATTCTTCATCTAGGTTTGGATAGAATTGATATTCTCATTTTAACTTGGATAATTGCTGCTCTACAGCCCATAATTTACAAGTAAGGGTATTAGCAAAATGAAGAGAATGTCTAGGAACAAATACGAAGAAAACTTATTACACATGTGAAATGTAGATGAAAATCAACGAAATAATGAGTGATTGATACAATGAGGGGTTACATTTATAATACCTCAAGTGCTTTACATGAACTGTTTCAGAAACTCTGTAGCAACGAGTCTGCCTCTGGTGTTCACTGATAACTTCAGTTCGGTTATTTCTTTCTCTATATCCTGCATTTTTCATAGTAACATTTCAAGTTCTTGATCATATTAAGAGGAGATTAGCAATTTTGCAGGTCATCATCAGAGTAACTAATCTCCTTCTAATCTTGTAGAAACAATTCAAATCTTGACCGTGGTTAGGTCAACTATTCAGAATACTAATTGTCAGAGTCAACTCAAAACATATTTTGTTAGGATGCAACTATTGCGGTGGAACCAATGCCATGGAATGAAGAAACCATTAGGTTTGGAGAAAGACTTGCCTCCATAAACTGAACAATGAAATCGATTAGCTTCTGTTTCTGCATCTCTTCGCAGTGGTAGTTTGTTATAAGAAAGCTAATGTCATAGCCCTGTTCAAAAGACCAACAAAGAAACCATTTGAAGGAAATCAGGAAATAAATCGTTCACACAATGCATTAAATAAACAGTAAATCATCTAAAGCCAAGACATTCCCGCACAACGAGATGATTCATGATTCATAAAGGGAGGTAAAAAGATAGGAAAAGATTGTGTCATGATTTAAATTTTCATAACCCTAGAAAGTAAAGTTATAAAGTGTCTTCGCAGAAAGCTAAAATGAAGGAAAAGTAATGAATCCTGGGTGTGTTACATATAACTAATTAGTGATGCGTTTGCAAAAATAAATAGAATCTCTACGGAAGAGAGGCATGCATTAGAACCACCAGATAAAACATAGTAGCAGTCAAGTGTTGAATCAGGAAGAACGGTTTACCTGCACTGGCTTCCTCCTAAGCACTTGGAAAGCTTCTGCTCTCATGGACAAAAATCTAAGGAACTTTTTGGTTAGTATGTTTTCAAGTTCATCCGCTTGTTTGACCTGAAAATTAACGATAGCAAATATTTGTAACTGCAGGATAGGAAAAATTTCAAGTCAAGACTTACGAAGACGTTATTCCAGGAGAACAGTGAGAAGAAAAAGAGAAACTGGTACAGTAAAGGAAAACAAAAGAATGCCTTTGTTGAAAAGTATGTCACCAAGAGATCTTCTTGTAATTGATTGAGGAAAAGGTAAGGAAAGATAAAGAATCACCTTGAGGCTTATCCTGAGTGAGTTTATAGATGTTTCTATCAAACACTTTTCAGCCTCATTAAGGCATATCAAAACCTGAAGATTGAAGGAAAAAAACAGCAGTCAATAACATAACCAATGTAAGAAGACAATGAAATATCAATGCTAAACTGAGAGGGAAACAAATAATCTACTTACAGGATTTAGCAAAAGTTCTGGGCTCGTCCTACAAAAATCAGCAAAAGACATGGTGATAATAAGATTCTACTACATGAAATGACAATGGCACAATAGCATCATTTCCAATTCTCACATGCATCTTACATACTTTAGTTCAACTTCTGGTTTATTATGCCTCTCAACTTCTTGACAAGGAAAGTTCTGCAAGTAGAGAAATATAGACGCTTTCAGGAATATACACCATGTAAAACTGAATCTTACATGGACCCTTTCACCTAATTGGTATCAACATCCATGATTGACAACTAGTACATTGTCCCTAATCAACTAGTAAACAACTAAAACATGAAAGTAACAAATACACAGAGGTCGAACATGGATGAGAGAGAACGGAAAGATGAATCTTTTATTGCCTTGACCATACTTAACCATAATCAGATAGACACTTTGAGACCTATGCAATGATATCTTCAAAGAAGAATCTCGTTTATACCTGTAAGCACATGGCTGCCTCGAGTGTATTTCTAATGCATGCTAGATACAGCCGTAATGGGTTTGCCTGGAACATCAAAAGACCCAAGCAAGGAGAAAACTTTAAACAATTTCTGCAGTAACTCAGTATGCATTTAGACCGACGTTGTCTAAAAGAAATTCAAGATTTATGAAGTATGTGAAGATACAAATTAGCGTAGAGGAGTAACTACTTATCTCAAATAGAGGACGAGAAGAGTGTATCTAGGAAGGTAGAGAGACAGAGTTCTTACCATGTTAAGGTACTTCTTAGAAATTGATGTTCTTCTACTTGAGACTTGCACCAAGTTTCGGAATTTATCTTTCGTTTTGATGAACCGATATGATCTGAAACATGTAATCCAAACACAAAACAAGAAAGCATCATACAATTTTGGATACCCACTTCCCACACTAAATACAACACGAAACCTGAGCAAGTGGTCGAACTAATATATCAGATTGCATTCATAAATCACATAATCTAATAATCGTTAAGCTTCTTTAAATAATAAAACTCTCGTTAGGTTGGAAATCGATTTGGGCACTGGTCAATCACAAAAACAAAAAAAATAAGTCAGAGAAATTGAGAGATGCAATCACTAATCACACAATCTGCTGAAAGATTTGGGAAAGTGAGAAGATGGGAAGATCAAAGCCTAGAAATCGAACAAATGCATTGATTGAATCGAAGCAAAAGCCCTAAAATCAATAATCGTGAGCAAGGGTTATGCAATTTGCATACCTTGGACGATTTGGAGGCTCGTGAGATAACAGAGATCGAAAGGAGATGTTGAGAATCAGATTTAGGTGTTGGACAGGTTCTTTGGCTAACACACAAGCAAAGGCAGCTTTTGCAGATGCTAACTATTGTTGGTATTTGATGAAAATTATAGAAAACCATATCGTTGTAATATTTTTTAATAAATGTCACTTTGATTATATGACTGAATAATTTTTTTTTTTTTTGGTTAAAGGACTTATATGATTGAATAATTAAAAATTTAATACTAAAAAATGTAAAATTTATTTAAAATTTATATATAATATTAGATTAAGATTGCATATATGCAAAGTTATAATAACAAAATTTTAAATTTATTAAAATATTTTAAAACAAAATAAAAAAACAAAATATGACTGCTAATAAAAATGTATATTAAAAACACAAAATCAAAATCAAAATTTTATTTAATTCTCATTTGTTTTTAATTAAAATATTTAAAATGTATATTCTGTTGCAGGTTCTAAACAACATGAATTGTACTTTTCTTGTAGTTCAATATTATATCAACTATTTTTTTTTGATGTAACAAAAATTTAGGTATGTAATTAGAGTTTTTCGAATATGATTTTTTCCCATTAATTTTTTCTAAGCAAACAAAATTTCTCTTTCTTTTCATATTCATTTCTTGTATATAATCCTTGTGCTTTCTAGAGAAGTTATGCACTCGTGTCAAAACTTCTCTATATGATTTTCATTGATCTTTCTCCAAATTAAGCTCGTCATCTTCTAGTGGCGTATCATTATCATCTAGAGTTTTATTTTCTTGTAATCCTACATTGCACATTTATGATGTAATTTGTTTTTAAAATTGTCAAATTATTAAATATCGGAAACACTTTAGATGAATATAATATTGAAGAAACAAATCATAAAAGATAAAAATTTGAAATACCGAACGAGTCAAAATAGATAAAAATTTGGAATACCATATAAAAAGTTTTAATAATAATATTACAATAAAAAGGAAAATTAGACCTATAGAATAAATCTCACGTTTGTTTGGTGAAAATTATAAGATACGTTATATGTTTATATAGATATGGATAGTTTTTTTTTAAAGATTAGTGTCTTAGCTTATTTTTCTTTTTCAAATTGAAATATTTTGTTTTATTATCTTTTTTTCAAATACTAATAAATAAAGGAAAATTATATCAATAGAATGAAGTTCAAGAAGTATTATTTTGTTTGATGACAAATTAGGAGAGATTTTATATGTTTATATAGATGTGGATAGTATTTTTTATTTTTAATATTAGTGTCTTAGCTAATTTTTTTTTAAATTTAAATATTACTTTTTATTAACTTTAATTTTTTTTCTTTCTCAAATATTTTTTTTCATTTTTTCTTTTATGATTAGTGTTATTTCTCTTTCCCAAATTGAATTATATTCTTTTATTTATCTTATTTTTAAAAAATTTAATCGAGATACGTGTCAAATCTGAATCAGAAGATTTGCTATATGTCGCGATCTTGTTAATTACTAACTTTGACGCATCTAACTTTATCTAATACTAGATTAAGACCCACATATATGCGAGTTTTTGATAAAATATTTACAAATTTGTAAAAATAACGTAAAAACAAAATCGGATAATTCAAGTAGAAAATGTAAAAATAATTTTCTTCTTTCTTATAGGATTAATGTTTTAATTTGTATTTTCCTAAATTGAAGTTAATTTTATTTACTTTGTTTCAATAAAGTTTCAATTTTAGTCTCAAGTTTTTTTGTGAGAAATTCAATTTACTTTTTAATTGAGATATATCTTTTTGTTAGAATTAGTATTTGTAACTTATATTTAATTGACGCATGTGAAAATTTAATCGGTTTAAATCGCCACATGTCATGATCATATGAATTATTAACTTTAAGACATTTAATTTTATATAATAACTAGATTAGGACCCGTGTATACACACGGGTTTGAAAATTATTTTAAAACTTATAAATAATAAATTGAAAACAAAAATAAATGGCTTTAATTATATTTATTTTTGTATTCATATTCGACTTTTTGGTAGTTAAAATGTGTTATTACACGTGGTAAATTTTGATTAATTGACTCACATACATTTCAATTATTTTAACTTAGACAGTGATCCCTATATGCAACTGATTTTTATTAACTATTACATAACCCGCTAAAAAGAAACTGAATATAAAAAGGTAAAAAACAATATTAGATCATTATGAACTTAAAATTTAAGATTGAGAATATTTTCGCAAAACTACTTATAATAGAACTGACTGAAGAAACTGGCTTTCTCCTTTGTTCCATGCTTACTTTTATATTTTTTTACAAATATGAATGAATATGAAAAAGTATAAAATAAAATTAGATCACTGTAAACATAAAAATATAACATTGAGACCATTTTTGCAAAACCACTTATAATAAAACTGATTAAAGAAACTGGCTTTCTCTTTCATTCTGTATTTACTTTTTCACAAATATGATTTTCCTCTAACAAACTCTTATCGAGAATCTCATTTGGTAAAATGGTATGAGAACAAAATTGGCTTTCTCCTTCATTTTTGCTTCTGCAATTCTGTTTATTTTTCACCACTTTATTAGTTTTTCATCTTATCCAATTGATTCGAGTTTAAGAGAAGAACCAGCCAAGAAAAATTATAAATATTTTTATGTATTTATAAAGGTGTGAGTAATAATTTCTTTTTTCTTTTAGGATTAGTATTTACTTTTTTTTAAACTGTTTTTCCTTTTTTAGTTGAAACACATAATTTTTTTAATATATTCATTTTTTAGATATGATGGTAGTTATGTTTTATTTTTTTATTTTTTTAATAATTATGATATTTCCTAAATTTCTGTTTTATTTTTAACTTAATCGCAACATGTATCAAAATGTTAATCGAAATTTTGATATGTGTCACGATCATGTGAATTACTAACATATAAAATTTGCTACATATTTTAAAGAAAAATTGGCTTTCTCCTTATGCAATTCTGATTGTTTTTCATTGATTCATCATTTTCTCATCTTACTCGTTTGATTCGAGTCTAAGAGAAAAATTAGCCTAGTAAAGTTATAAGAGATTTTATATGTTTATAAAGATGTGAGTAATATTTTCTATTTTTTTTAGGATTAGTTTTTACTTTTTTGAAAAAAGTTTCCTATTCTTAATTGAAATATATATATATATATATATATATATATTTTTTAGATATTAGTGGTTATTTATATATATATATTTTAACAATAGCGATATTTCCTAATTTTTTTTTTATTTTTAATTTTATCGTGACACATGTCAAAATCTTATCAACTAACTTGCCATATTTTTCTTTTTCTTTTAGGATTAGTTTTAACATTTTTGAAAAAAGTTTCCTTTTCTTAATTGAAATATACATATTTTTTAGATATTAGTGGTTATAGTTTTTTGTTTATTTTTTTAACAATAGTGATATTTCCTAAATTTTATTTATTTTTTATTTTATCGTGATACATGTTGAAATGTAATCATTAACTTGCCATATTTTCTTTTTTCTTTTAAAATAGTTTTTACTTTTTTGAAAAAAGTCTCCTTTTCCTAATTGAAATATATATATATATATTTTAAGATATTAGTGGTTATATTTTCTTATTTGTTTTTTTAACAATAGTGATATTTCCTAAATTTATATTTATTTTTAATTTTAAAGTGACACATGTCGAAATCTAATAAATTAACTTGCCATGTGTCACGGGTTTGGAAATTATTTTAAAACTCGTAAATAATAAATTAAAAACAAAATAAATAGCTTTAATTATTTTTATTTATCTACTCATATTTGACTTTTTTAACAAAAATACTTATTACATGTGATAAAATTTTATTAATTGACTCATATACATTTCAATCATTTTAACTTAGACTTTGGTTTCTATATACACTGGTTTATAATAACTATTACATAATCAGTTAAAAAGAAACTGAACATGGAAAAGTAAAAAAAAAAAAAAGATCATTGTGAACATTAAAAGTAAGATTGAGAACAATTTCGCAAAATCAATTATAATAGAACTGATTGAAGAAACTGACATTCTTCTTAGTTCTATGTTTACTTTTATATTTTTCACTAAAATGACTGAACATGAAACAGTAAAAAACAAAGTTAGATCACTGTAAACATAAAAAAGTAAGATTGAGAACATTTTTGCAAAAGTACTTAAGATAGAACTGATTAAAGAAACTGAATTTCTACTTTACTTCATGTTTACTTTTATATTTTTCACAAATATGACTGAACATGAAAATGTACAAAAATATTAGATCGAACAAAAAAAAATTATGATTTGAGAACATTTTTGCAAAACCACTAATAATAAAACTGATTAAAGAAACTGGTTTTCGCTTTAATTTTGTGTTTACTATTATATTTTTCACAAATATGATTTCTGTCCAGCAAACTCTCATCGAGAATCTCATTTGGTAAAATGATATCATAGCAAAATTAGCTTTCTCCCTCATTTTGCTTCCGTAATTCTGATTATTTTTCGTTGCTTCATCAGTTTTTCATCTTATCCAGTTGATTTGAGTTTAAGAGAAAAATCAACTAACAAAAATTATAATTTTTTTTACGTATTTATAAAAATATGAGTAATAATTTTCTTAATCTTTTAGGATTAGTTTTTACTTTTTTTTTCTTTTTTCAGTTGAAATATACAATTTTTTTAATTTTTAATATATTATCTCTTCTTTTAGATATGGTAGTAGTTAGATTTTTCATATTATTATCTTTTTATGATAATTATGATGATGTCAAAAAATATAATAATTATGATATTTTTTAAATTTATGTTTTATTTCTAATTTAATCACGGCACGTGCCAAAATTTTAATAGAAAAACTTGAGAAGTATAACGATCATGTGAATTACTAACATATAAGATTTGTTACATATTTCAAAGCAAAAGTGCTTTTTTCTTTATTTTTCTTCCGCAATTCGGATTGTTTTTCTCTTTTATTCTGTGTTTACTATTATATTTTTCACAAATATGATTTCTATCTAGCAAACTCTCATCGAGAATCTCATTTGGTAAAATAATATCAGAGAAAAATTAGTTTTCTTCCTCATTTTGCTTCCGTAATCTGATTATTTTTCGTTGCTTCA